TTGTGGACGCTTTTGAGTTGTGAACTCAACGTCAACTTTAGTTCAGAACTAGAACGATGAGTTAATTTTGTTTTGTATATTGTAAAATTTTGAAAGCTCATTTATGCACTCAAAGCTTATAAACGTCACGCTCGAATATGATCGATAATCCCAAAGCGATTTTGTATAATTTTTTGTGTGAGAAGCAAGATCACTGCCAAAAATTAAGAGAACTTACACGAAACTGCATAGATATACTACTAATGTAAGTTAAGAGTCGATGTTTGATGTTTGAAAGATAAGAAAAATTAAAAAAAAAACACATTATGTATTGAAAAGTTCAAATTGTCATAGGCTGACATGCGATAGTATCTAATATATAATATAAAACAAAAAGCAACCACTTTGTATGAATAAATTTAAGTTTACACAATTTTTCTTTCGAAAAGTAACGTTTATGTTTTTGTAGCAACAACAAAAGTGCAAATATTGTTTAAAACAAAGCAAGAAATATAAATGTAAATATGAACAAAAAAATCAAAAATATAAAAACCCCTTCATGTGCATACGTAACTGCTTATTTTATTTAGCTAAATTGCTTAAAATTAAAAAAAAAAACATAATTATCAAAAAAAAATCATTGGCCTTTTCGTATTAGATACCCTTAGTTTCATAAAGCTTACTTTTAATTTCATTGAATCTAAACTTAAATTTAGGCAAACAAAAATTTTCTTATATAAAAAATTCATCAAAATTCAAAATTTTATTCGCCATTGACAAGTGCAAACTGATCACAAGTTTTCAAAAAATTAAAAAAAAAATCTATAAAACTTAAAATTATATTTAGTTCTTTTCAGTTGTATGGCATAATTTGTTAAGATGATTCTAAAGCGATAAAATTATTCACCGAAAAATTTACACATAAACTTACGGCGCTGCATCTGATTAACAGTTCTAGTGTGTCGAAATTTTTACCGAACTGTCAACAATTGTTGAACATATGTTTTCTCGTTTCGAGGCTTCCAGTTTTTGAGCTTAAATGAAACTTCACAAGTATTTCCAATAAATTCTAAAGGATTCGATTAAAAACATAAATAAACAAATTTTAAGAAAAAGGATATCTACCATAAGTTCTTCAGTTACATCCTACTAGACTTTCGTCAGTATTGGCGTCATTTTTGCAAACCAAATACAATCTTAACTTACCTTAAGAATTTTTTGTTTTCTCGGTGACGTTTACTCAAGTAGGTTTTAAAATTGCAGAAAAAAATTGTGTTTAAAGCGCAGATAAATGTTAAAACCTACTTGAGAAAACGACCCTTAATAACAAAAATTTCATTATCTGCGGGCTCGTAAAAAAGAGCTTATCTCCACCATAATTTGCCTTGTCGCTATTCTAATTTGTGTTTTTCATGCAATTATTAAAAAATATACTATGCTTTATACAAAATTACCGATTGATAATTACATACATATGTAGTTTATTTTGAAATAAATGTCAAATTCTTATCACACCATAGTATTTTGTAATTTGTAGATATGTATATGTATGTAACATCATAAAGTTTTTTGCTTGTAATTATTAATTTGATTTTAATTTTCTATAATAAATAAATAAATATTTCATTTTGAAACACAATTTGCATTATTTTTATTTACTTAATTTTTTTTTATTTACATATGTAGATAAAAAAATATGTACACTCCGTTTCACTTGATTAGGTACACTTCATTGAATAGGTAGACAAGATCTGAGTTTATATCTGGACTTGTGGTCATCGGATAAGCTGCGTTAATATCTCA